CTGATGATGTCCTGTATGGGACGAAATATGTTGGGAAGAAGCAAGTACCACGAACTTCGCCTAATAAATACTTATAATTGTTGGGTAAATTAATGGCTGCAATGATTTTGGGATAAGGCGGTATGAAATGCAAAAGCAAGCATGCTTTTTTGTCGGTTTAAAATATTTTAAAGAACAAAGGACCTAGAGGTAGGAGGCTTAAGATAAACGATGTAAGTCCTTGAATTGAGGATCAGGTAGTAGAAAATGCTTCTGCCTACAAAGGACAAAAATATTCGAAGAGACAAATTAATCAATCAATCATTAATTAATTAATTAATTATTAATCAATAAATAAATAACTTGAAATTAAATTAAGAAATTATATTGCGGTCCATTTACATAATAGAGGCGCCAATCGGGCAGGTCCCTGAGGCTGTACGAACTGGAAACTACTTTCACAGCACCGCTCCGTGTCTGCCAGCAAAGACCAAGACAACGGGCTGATAGAGAGGTAATCTAGTGGAGTGGCTCTTCATAAGCCTGCACAAGCTTCATTATTATTAATCAATAAATAAATAACTTGAAATTAAATTAAGAAATTATATTGCGGTCCATTTACATAATAGAGGCGCCAATCGGGCAGGTCCCTGAGGCTGTACGAACTGGAAACTACTTTCACAGCACCGCTCCGTGTCTGTCAGCAAAGAACAAGACAACGGGCTAATAGAGAGGTAATCTAGTGGAGTGCCTCTTCATAAGCCTGCACAAGCTTCATTACAAGGGTGAAACTCAAGACGACGATACGTCTAGGAGGGCACCGCCCGACTAAGTTTGGCTCTCAGTGGTCGACAGGCCATCACGGGCACGCAGAAGGACCTACTGTGCCAATACTTGTGGTATGAAGCAATCAGCCCGACGTACTGAAGCACGCTTATTCCTATGCAAAACATTATTTTATAGGATCATAAAATTCTGATACATAAATCGAAAGAGAAATCAAAGTAAGCGCAATTCTTAACAGCAAAAAGGAAAAAGAGACAATGAGGTACGCTAATTTTGAAACAGTCTTGGATTAAAGACGATGGTTTAATAGCTTTTCGTGGTGAACACCCCCACCCCCGGTGGGAGAATCCTGAATAATTAAACAGAATGTGGAAAAGGGGCGGTGACTTATTTGAAGGTACTACCGCCACGTTTATATTATTTATTTTTTGTTTAGCAAAGCTTCCAAAGGCTCGCACTAGCCTATACAAGCGTCGAATGACACGATGGAAAATGAGTAATGAACTGGAAATTAGGCGGAAGGAAACGGCCTGACGTAACAAAAAAAAAAACATGGTAGGAACTAAATATTTCATCACTGAGTGGAAGAACCGAAAATGATTAATGACGACACTGAAGGAGGAGGCTGAGTAAAAACATTTCAGTCGCCCGCTGTCACAACAAAGCTACTGCACATTACTTTCATAGCACAAAATTGCAGAATGCACAGAAGTGATGAAGATTGTCCTATAAGCCACTGTTGTTGTATACCTCTCGTCGGATGGCGGAACGGCGGCCAAATTGAAACACTCCGCAATTCCAAATTAGAACACAAGTTTGTAGCAGCGTAATACGTAACTGAGGCGACAAGCTCAGTCACATGATAATTCCCTAAGTACTTGTTTTAACTGCGCCCTGCACGAGAGAATTGTTAACGTCAAACGGTAAATGGAAGAGTCCATTAACATAGAATCATCGAGGAACGGAATAATTATTTTGTTGTAAGACTTGAGGTTCTCACAGCGGTGAGTATGAAGATTTCCGTCTTCTGGGTTGTTGCGCTGTGTAGTCATCAGGGCGATGAATATCATCGCCCTGATGACGGAGGCAGTATGACCTCTGAAACGTTGGTTAACATCGACCAGACTACACAGCGCAACAACCCAGAAGACAGAAATCTTCATACTCATCGCCCTGATGACGGAGGCAGTATGACCTCTGAAACGTTGGTTAACATCGACCAGACTACACAGCGCAACAACCCAGAAGACGGATATCTTCAATTATTTTGTTACTTTCTTCAGAATGCTAAATAAAATATTGTCGCTATGGATTGAATGTTAAAGTTATACGAACCCGTAGTTTAATAACAAGATCAGTTTTCTTCATCTTCAAATTTCTTCCTACATTCTTCATCTCTTTTGTCCAATTAGTTTTATTCATCTCGTTTCCACTTTCTCTCTTTTAGTCCTAGCTTTAACTCCTGTCGAAGTAATAAGTAATGAATTCCTTTCTCTTTGTCCTCCTTCAGACGAAATGTAAGAAGTGTAACAAAATCCACGCCCAGAATCACAACCTTTCATCGGCTTTGTAAACTACGTAATTGTAACAAAATCCTCACAGACAATCAGCCGCGTCATTTGCCTCTCTTCAGTTGTCGTGAAAGCTTAAAATCACACATCTAACCGTATTTACGATAAATTAACATCTACGTTGTAACGCATATAAATAATTATGCAGTAAACGTAGGACCTACCGAAATTTGTTGCACATATTTCTGCTCTTACGTAATGCTCTGTTATAATTAGATATTTCAAATTAATATAAAAGTCGTCATACGATAATGTAACTAGCAATTTCTGTATCTTCCTGTTTTAAGATGCGGGGATTCGGACGCGAATGGGAGAAAACGATTAATACACAATTATTACACATTAAGAGCCTCGGTTCAAAATTTTAATCTCAATTAGTTGAACATTAATAACGCATAAGCCTACCTA